TTCGATGATCAGAAGAAGCTAAAAAAAATCTGTGATCGTCGAATTCTGCAAATTAAGATGATACATTGGCTGAACCAGCTGCGATCAGCGTTTGGCGTCGCGTTTCTGTGGCTCGTTTGCCTTATTTACTTCACTCAGGTTTTGATTCTCTGGATTTTTCTTTTGTTTTTCGGTAATTCATCTGGAAATGGCGATTCTCGTTGAACCAAAACAGAGATGTTGTTGTATTCTCGTTGCGGATTATTGATAAAGCAGAGAATCCCATTTTTTTCCGTTTTCGTCGTTCTACGTACACCAAATCGATTAGGGATTCGAAACTTCTGATTTAGGAATTTTCCTTTTTAATTTGAAGTTTTTAGGACCAAAATTCTGGCGTCATCCTCTGTTTCCACAATAGCTTTTGGTATTTAATTAGATGATCACTGTGTACATTGTTGAGATTGGTGTGCTTAATTGCGTGTTATTAGCGATTAATCCGTTAGAAACTTAGGATTTTGCGTTTTGCAGGATAATCAAAATGATTTGGTGATTTTGTTTGTATATAGGGATTTAGATCGTTTGTGTGGACAGCTGTTTCGTACCAGTTGAAAGACAAGCTTCAGTTATCACCATCAGCTTCTCAGTTCGTGTTTTCTGTAGCCTTCTTTCCATGGAGCATAAAACCATTATATGGGTAATGACTCTTCATCAATCAAAGCTAAATGACACTGAGAGTACGTAGGAGCTTAGAGTAATAATGGCGTGTTCTTTCTCTTTTGCTTCTTTTTGTAGAATCATTTCAGATTGTATCCCAATCAGAGGGAAAAAGAGGACGCCGTATTTGGTGATATCGACTGTGCTCTCTCTTGTGCCATGGCTCTTGCTTGGTCTAGATTCAACCTCGCGAGATTCCAGTTTGTATCTGATGATTTTGTTGACCGTACAAAATCTTGGGTCGGCCATGGCTGATGTTGTGGTAGATGCCATGATAGCTGAGTCAGTAAGACTTGAAAAGTACGATTTTCTATCATGGTTTAGTGAATGATTTTTCGGCGAAACAGGGATCTTATTCATTAGTTGAGTTGTCTTTTAATCGTTTATCAGGTCCTCCTTTGCTGGAGATCTTCAGTCTGTCTCATGGTTTGCTATGGCTGTGGGCGGAATATGCGGTAGTCTATTAGGAGGGTATGCATTAACCAACTTGAAGATAGAAACAATATTCCTCCTTTTCACGGTACTACCAGCGCTACAACTACTATCATGTGCACTGGTTGAAGAATTTCCTGGTAACGATGAACCATTGCCCGAGCTGCTGGATTCAAACGGGTTTGAAGAGAAAAGCAAGATGAGCGATGATAATTATCGAGATACAAAGAAGTCCACAACAAGAAGAAGGAAGGGACAGAAGAAAGGTAAAAAAGGAGCTTCCAATGGAAAATCTGAGACACAGAAGAAGCAATCAAAGTCTTTGGCTTCACAGTGGTTCCAGTCACTGAAATCAGCCACTTTTGGTTTATGCCGTGCGTTCAAGCAACCGATCATTTTGAGGTAATACACACATTCTTTATTAGTCGCTTTCAAAAATTCTTGAATTGATGTTTCTCATTTACTTTCTCTGGTTTTCCAGACCAATGGCATGGTTTTTCATCGCGCATATCACTGTGCCAAATCTCTCTACTGTCATGTTTTATTACCAAACCGAGGTCTTGCAATTGGACGCTTCTTTCCTAGGAAGAGCCCGTGTTGTTGGTTGGATAGGTCTCATGCTTGGAACCTTCATCTACAACCGTTATCTGACAAATATGACTCTACGCAAATCTCTCTTGTAAGTCTAAATATTTCCCGGCATCTCAATATCTTCATGTTTAAGTGATCTAATCAACAAAAGCATTATCACAGATTTGCTCACATCGGTCTGTCTATAACGATACTCCTCGATATGGTTCTAGTATCTAGAGCAAATGTGGGTTACGGAGTATCAGACAAGACAATGGTGCTCTTCGGATCAGCTCTATCTGATGCTATCAATCAACTCAAGTACGTAGCTTTCCTTCTCACTTTCTCTGAAAACATTTCTTCAAATAATTGTAAACTCATAAGGATGCTTCTTTGTCTTAATCATAGATTCATGCCGTTCTTGATCTTGTCTGGTCGTCTGTGTCCTCCTGGGATCGAAGGAACACTCTTTGCTCTGTTTATGTCGATAAACAACCTTGGGAACACAGTTGGGTCCTTCATGGGAGCAGGATTGGCTTCACTTTTGGGAATCTCTTCAGGGTCCTTTGAGAATATGTTAATGGGATTAGGCATTCAAGTGTTGTGCACTTACATTCCCGTTTTGTTTCTTTTCTTGATACCCAAGGAAGCTACAGGAGTATCAGCTTCATAGGCCACAGAGCAAAAGCTAGTTCTCATAGAAGAAAGTTTTAGAACAGAGATTTTTGGCATCAATTTTTTTGACTTTCTTAAAGGATTGGAATTGGCAGATATTAGACACACAGTGGAGAGTTGT